ATTTTTATTTTCGCTCATATTTCAACCGTTGAAAAATGTACTGTTGGAATCGTTAATGTCCAACGAAAATTCCAATGGAAAACTAATTCAAACAGAATATTTTTGTTGGAATTTCCATTGGAATTCATTGAAAAAATCCAACAAAAATAATACCATTTAAATATATCCGTTGGAATTGCCGTTGAAATTCCATTAGAATATATTTCCCTTGAAATTTTCCGTTGTGTGGAGAAAGCAGAAAAATCGTTTCTAAATGAAATGAAGTACTTTTCAAATTGTAAATGGATATAGATTGAAAAGGTAATGCTTATAGTTTGATACTATATGAAACAATAAAATATTAATTGATAATAATCGGTAGTTAGAAAGATATAAATAATATTTTTTCTTGAAATATATATTATAATTTTAATTATGTTAGTGAGGTTATAGATAATATTATAAGGATTTGCATTTAGTTCTACCCTCTTAAATTAAAATCAATATATCTTGAAAAGGAGCTTTCCCCCATTCTGTGCACGCCTATGAATCATAAAAAGCAATAGCTACCTTTCTCAGCGAGCCTTTGCCTCCTTTTGGAAGAAAAAACTGAATCAAGTCTTAAATTGTCCAAAATATACTATAATAATAATGAAAGAAAGCCTTACAGGTTCCTATGATGCCTAATTGGTGTTTTTATAGTTTTCATTAAATTACATAACTAAATATTAAAACTATTATAAACGATTTGCATTAATTCTCGATGATTATGACTCTCACAACTCGATAAAGAAAAATCTTACAGTATATATATGTTTTCATAATTAATTAATTTAACTAACAACTAATATCAAACAATTAATTTAACTAAATACATTTTTAATTAATGATTACAACAACCGATCGAAACAATATAAAGATTACAAAAATTACTATAATCCACTAATAGCTAATAGTCACCTATCATTGTCAAACAAGACCAGAATAATATTAAATAGCTAACGTAGTATAATATTAAAGAATGGTGGCTAAATAAATAGTACTAACATTAAACAATTTAAAATCAAATGGTAGCCCTGGATGATTGTGATTTGTGAAGTTCATTGAAGGTGGTCTTAACTTATATATAATAAGGTCCGAATTATGTTGTTGGGCGTAGTTTTTCATGTGCATGAGGCATGGTTGCATAATGAGTTATCATTAAGGGGAGACACCAAGCAATAATCCTTTCCTCGCTATTCATATTCTCTCAATTGTTTTTGTAGAACATTTTTCTCATTCAAAAGTTATACTCTTCAAATAAAATTATATGTTGTTACCAAATTATTCTAATTTCAATATCAAATAAATAGAAATTTTACGTAGTTTATGGAATGTGTGATATTTGTATGGAGAGACAGAAATCCAAATAAAAATTATATCAAGATACGCGTTAGACGAATTAAAATGTACACATATTATTGGTAATTTAGAAAATTTAACACAACTTACGAATATTATAAAATGATTGATGTATTATCTTGTAACTCGTTTGTGTGAACAAGATTTGTTTACCGACGTTGCCATGCATTTATTTATGTTGATTGCAGTAAGTGGAATAAATATCTATAGCGCAAGTTTCATTGTGCTAGAGTTGTAAAAATGGTGGATAAACAATTCAGATGATTAATATGAAAGAATGAGAAACGAGTGCGGTCTTATGCACGTGAAACCTATCATCAGATGGTGAGTTTATGTGCACCTTAGGGAGATTCTATCCCAAACCAATTGGTGATGAGAGGAGTACCCTACTAAACTTATAAGTTATTATCATTTTTCCTTCATTTTCCCTATAGAAGGGATGTGGGACGTACACATATTATTGGTAATTTAGAAAATTTAACACAACTTATGAATATTATAACATGATTGATGTATTATCATGTAACTCGTTTGTGTGACAAGATTTGTTTATCGACATTGTCATGCGTTTATTTATGTTGATTGCAATGAATGGAATGAATATCTACTGCACGAGTTTCATTGTTCTAGAGTTATAAAAATGGTGGATAAACAATTCGATGATTAATTTTGAAAGAATGGGGGAAACAAGTGCGGTCCCATTCACGTGAAGCCCATCATAAGAAGGTGAGTTTAAGTGCACTTTAGTAAGACTCCATCTCAAAACTAATTGGTGATGGAAATGGTAGCCCACTAGGTATAAGTTAGGTTCATTTTCTCTATAGAAGGGATGTGAAACCGCTCACAAGTAATGTTCTAATACCATGAAAGGATTAGGAAAAACGGGTGTGGTCACATGTACATGAAGCGTACCATAAAACAAAGTAAAGAACTAAACTATTTTGATTTGTTACTAATTAATTTGCTATACATCCTAATATGCCCTGATTTTATCGACTTTATCTTGAATTTTGTATTTTGGTTTTATTAGAGGCATGGGCGAATCAATTAAGGGGTCAGTGTGATTTAGGCCCACACTGAATTTTTCAAGTAATCTCTTAAAGAGCATATAATTTTGGGATATTGAAAAATTTAAATTTCATGTGTAGGTATATTAGGAAAGATACGATGAACAAGACATGATATTTCTCTTTAAGTTATGGCCTAATGTTTTTCTTCTCTCAATCGTCAATTATTTTTTATTTTTTAGAATCAACATTATTTTATCCTATTTTTGTTAGATTTGAATTTGATATATACTCGATTAATTACTTAATGGAACTTATAGTAAGAAGAACAAATTACAAATACTTCTTATCTGTGATAGTTAATTCTCATCCATCTTTAATTTAGTTACAATTTTTTTTGACGAATTAACAATTTGTATAAGTGTATGAATTTCCACATAAATCACTTTAAATGATATGTATTGCTTTATTAATTAATTAATCTACTTCTTTAATTTTTTTTTTTTGAAAAATCAATTGGATATAAGATTTTTTCGTTTCTTTTCATTCTATCAAGATTTATCGAAAAAAATAAAAAATGGAATATTCCATTTTCTCCCTTTTCGAAAACTCTCGCTTTTCTCCCTTCTCGAAAGTTCATGCTCTAGATCACCGCATGCCTCCCCACTTCTAACGCCTGCCTACCCTGTTCTCAGGCGGCCAATGTTGGAGCCAGTTCCATTTTCCGTCTCTTTCTCTCTTATCTATCCAGTTTTCGTGGATGGGAGGGTAGGTTTCTCAAGCTTGGGTTCCTTCCTCTTGGGGGATATTTCGGTCACGGTTTCCCTTCAGAGGGTGTTTTGGATGCGATTTCTGGCAATCGACTAGGGATCTTTCATCCTCAGGGAAGTTTCGGTTGTGGATTCCGGCGATCTGGTGGAGACTGTGGATTGCGGCACCCTGGTGCCCTTCGTTGATGGTCGCAACTTTGAAGGATGAATTTGGTGTGTTGGTCTCAAATTCGGTTAGTCTTCAGCCATTTCCGAGTTGTGGAATATCTGGATCTACTATTTTGTACACAAATCCTATTCGTTGTTGTGGTCGTCATGATTCGTTGACTCGTGTGCTAGGTGCAGCGGTCTAGCTTTTCGGAAGCCGGGTATCTTCACACGGATGCCCACAAGAAAGACAACCCGCATGAGGACTTTAATCTATACTTATTTGCGTTGTTTGTTATTTTGTTTATTTGTTTATATTGTTTTTTATTTTTTTGTGGTTAGAGCATCTTCAATGCATTGTGTCTAATCTTGCCTATGTGGCAAGTAAATAAACCCAAGTCTTAGATGACATGGATAAAACTATGTAAAATTAATAAAATTCACTCCAATACAAAGAGACTAGGTCTCTACTTGAGTCTAAAATAGACTTAAGGGGAGACCGGGTCTCTTTTTGTGGCTACCACATCAACATGACTCAATCTACTTTTATTTGCATTGGAAAATATATATTTTTAAACTGGGTCTATTTCTTATGTGGCATGTAATTTTTTGGGATTGAACTCAAAGCATTGTGGATGCTCTTAGGCCTTTAGGTCCAATCTTATATCGTCTTGTTAGTTTCGCTTGGCGCGGATAACAAAAGATTGTTTAGTTCCGTTATGTGCGGATATTTTTGTTTAGAACATCTGCAATGTTTTGGGTCTAGCTTTGCCTACGTGGCATGTAAATAAACTCAAGTCTTGGATGACATAGATAAAATAATATAAAATTAACAAAGTTCACTTCAATGCAAAAGACTAGGTCTCTACTTGGGTCTAAAATAGACTTAAGTGAAGACCGGATCTCTTTTTCTTGCTGTCACATCAGCAGGACTCAGTCTACTTGCACTTGCGTTGGAGAATATATATTACACTAGGTCTACTATCTAGGTGGCATATAATTTTTTTTGATTGATCCCAAAACATTATGGATGCTCTTAGGTTGTAGTTTTATTATTGTAGGGTTTGCTTTTTCAGGTTGACATTATCCTATTTAGTTTGGACTTAGACTTGTTGTCATGTTGTGTTGATATTTGATATCCGATTTTATGTCTTGTAACTAACTAGTTTTCGAGTTTAATAATATGTTTTTGTTCAGGAAAAAGAAAAAAAAGAAAGTGGAAAGGGTTCGATTTTATCAAAAGTGATAAGGTGCGCTTGGATATAAATTTTTTCATTTCATACCCAGTCTAATTCAAAATCTAACTCAATTTAACTCAACTCCACTATCCTCAATTATAAGTATAATTAAATAATACTATCAATCAATTATTCTTACACATTAATCAACTTTAATTAACTTTTCATATACTTACATAATTTTAACTAATAATCATTTCATATCATCTCTCTCACTCTCATATTTTTACATCAACTTTAGCTATTACTTTCTAAATATTATTTTAACTTAAATTTCAAACTCAACTAACATCTAATTATACACTTTTTCTAACTTAACTCTTGTTAACAACAAAATTTGATTTTGAGCATAAATTTTTGTATCCAAACAACGCATAGCGACGCGCCGTAGCAACAAAAAGCAGGTCAAACAATAGGCCATTGATGGAACAACATATGGCCTCAAATTGTACGGAATTCAAACCACATTTAAAAAACTTCAAAACACATTTTCCGACAGTTTGTCAAACCTGAATCTTTGAAGGCTTTCTCCGAATAGAGAGCTCTGTAATGAAATGGACGCCATTAGAAAGCAGGCCACCAAGCTCAGAGAACAAGTCGCCAAGCAACAGCAAGTAGATCTCTGTATCCCTCTCCCTCTCTCTCTCTCTCTCACACACACACACATGAGGTGTACATAGATGAGCCCTAAATTTCTATTTACTCTCTGGTGATTTAGTGCTTCGTTCATCTCAGTGTTTGTGTGTCTGAAATCATAAGGCTCACTTTCACGGCTGAAAAAAGTTCAAATTTCTGAAATAGCTTGAAACTGAATTTTTTGACAGCAAATTAAAAAGCTAGTGTTATCTGGCTTACTTACAGCAAAAGAGTTGATTGTGGGACTGAATTTTTTCTTTTAAAGAGCAAGTTTTCGCCATTTTTATGTTGTTCTGACGAAAGAATGAGTGGTTATATCATTGAATTGACTTAAATATTTGATTTTTATGCATTATATAGGTTAAACATGCTGATGAGCACCAGATTTATCATACTTCCTCCATTTTTATTACTTCAGGAAAGAAAAAAGAATTGGTTAATTGAATAAAACTCGTAAGTCGTGTAGATGTTATTGCCTTAAGAAATTGCATTTTGTAGGCCTTTTTTGTTTCTTAGGTGTGGAAGGTGCATTTTCCATATGTCTATTACTTATGTAGTTGTGGTTTGGCATAAAACTGAATATACTCCCTTGTTTTAGGTACAGAACTTTTTTTTTTTTTGTTAATTATATATTATAAGGAATTTTAATTTTTTTTTGTTCCAAATTTTCAATTAGGCTGTTCTCAAACACTTTGTTGGGGGAATTGGTGGCTCAGACAATATTGCATCCGATGAATTTGAACTCCAACAGCATCAAAGATTAGAGAAGCTTTACATATCTACTCGTGCTGCCAAGGTTATCATCACCTGTGTTACGGTTCACCTTAAGGACTGCCTCTATGTAGTTATTCTGTTTACATTAGATGCATATCCTCTCAACATTTTTAATATTAATTTTTATTTTTCCTTTTTGGTGCCTTAACAGCACTTTCAAAGAGACATTGTCCGAGGCATTGAAGGTTATATTGTCACTGGAAACAAACAAGTTGAGATTGGTATGTTGCGTAAAATATTTTCTAACGAGCTTTTCAATATCAAATATGAAAATGATCTTTTACTACGAAGTTAGTTCTTCACAGGTACAAAGTTGTCCGACGATAGTCGGAAATATGGCTGTGAAAACACATGCACCAGTGGGAATAGTTTGTCCAAGGTGGCACTAAGTTATAGTAGGAGCCGTGCTCAAATTGAAAAAGAACGTGACAATATGCTAAAATTGTTTCGAACTCAGGTCTGTATTTGGTTTTGCTCTAAATCTCTCATGGGACGGTTTAATGTCACCTTTTCTGTTTTATTTCCACGCGCAATGGTAAATTTTCCATGTACTCTTTTGAGACTCATGTTAATGCGAATTTGACTAAGACGCTAAGTTAATACCACATTTTAATGACTTACTGTATAGTTTGGATTATATCAACTCTGTATCTGTAATTGCTTACTCGCTTTGAACTATTTTTGTCTGATTTCAATTCGACAAGAGCACATGATTAAGAAAGACCTGGTTAAATATATACTCTTGCATTCTAACCATAAGAAATTGTTTGCACCATTTGCTTTTGTACTTCATAATTCTCAAGAAGACACAATGTGATGGTTTTATAATCCAATTCTTTGTCATTTCTAATATTTTCATTTTGTGTATAAAATAATCAAGGCAGATCCTCAGGCAACTGTAAATTTAGTCCGATATTATTGTCTTGTAAGACTGCTTTTTTTAATTATTATTGTTATTACAAAAGCTTTTTTGTCATGCTGTGAATGGTTTGATTTATGCGCAGGTTACAGAGCCTTTAAGGGCGATGATTGTGGGCTCCCCACTAGAAGATGCTCGGCATCTTGCGCAAAAATACGATAGAGTGAGACAAGAAACTGAATCTCAGGTAAAAACATCAAATTTAACGAAACATGATGCCTGAAGAAATATAAAGAACAGATTTTTATATTATGTCCATATATTAGAACTCCATTTGGTGCCAAATTTTATTTATTGAATTTTCTCTTGGCCAAGACAGGTCATTGATGTCGCTCGATGCCAAGCTAGAGTTAGGGAGACAAACGTTAATCCAGAGAATATATCAAAGCTGGAAGCTTCCGAAATGAAGCTTCACGAGCTTAAATCAAATATGGCTACACTCGGTAAAGAAGCAGCCTCTGCAATGGCTGCTGTTGAAGGTCAACAGCAGAGGTTGACTCTACAGAGATTAATAGCCATGGTAATTATACATTTTAAATTTACGCTATTTGGGTATATTTTTTTTCTGTCGATTCTAATATCCATGTTGGAATTTTATTTGATGGTTTAATACATCATAGGTTACTGTTTTATGCAGGTTGAAGCCGAGAGAACTTATCATCAACGTGTACTTGAGATACTCAATCAGCTAGAAGCTGAGGTATCACATTACTTAGAAGGTTTTTGGCTGCGCTTATGAGCTCTTTAAAACATTTTACATAAGCTGCTTAAGAAACAATTAATATGATCTTCAGCAAAAATCTGCTCAGGAGTATGCTAGTTTCTTTTAGTTTCCTTTTCAAAAATAAAAGTAGAAAAAATAAAAAGAAGTAAAGATCTTGTTTAAATTTGAATATTTTACTTGTAAAAGTGTTGTTACGAACATGTTAAAAAAGAAACTCCATTCTTTATTTGAATAATACAACTTATTTTTTAAATAACCTCTAATGAACTCCGAAAGAATCATATATGATGTGGGAGCTTATATCGTAAAGCACAATCTACACCATTCAACTTAGTTTTTTTTAATTATATTTATATCAGGAGTGATGGATTATTTTCTCCTGTTCATTAGATGTTATCCGAACGTCAAAACAATGAAACTCCACATGTGGTGGCTGCTGATAGCACAAAGCCTCCACCTTACAATTTGTCTGAAAACTTTGTCTCTCAAACGTTCGACAGGTCAACTGATGGCATGGGTTACTTCCTGGGGGAGGTATTTAATTTAATTACTATTATGCTTAGATGGTCTAAGTAAATATTTGATATAATGTTATTTAATTATGGTGATTCTTGACAATGGACTATATATTCAAGGTCATTCATGCTTACCAAGCTGAGTCTGATGTGGAGCTGACTTTATCTCTTGGCGACTATGTTGTTGTCCGAAAGGTTATTTCTGTTTTCTTCAGTTCTTCTATTTGGTTTTATTACGAAACTTTGCTTTAAAAGGAAGAATTGCGTTTTTGGTCCATTGAAGAACTATTTATCGAGCTTTTCATTGTTAGTCAACATTGGGATTCGTCAGTTCAGTTTTCTCCTGGAAGGACATTCTTATAAAATTTCATATTTTTAAACCGT